GCCAGGTCGAGGAGGAGCCGTGCGTCGAGTGGGACTTCGACAACTCCACCTTCAGCTCCACCGTTGGCACTGAGGTAATCTTTGATTCAGACCGTTTGGTAAGCGGTGTTGGTGCCTGTGACTTGGCGGTGACAAAGGTATTGGCGTTACTAGATACAACATATTATGACAGTGCTCAATAGATACAAAGACAGTGCTCAGCAGATACAAAATATTATGACTGCTCAAGATACAAAATATAAGATACAAAATATTATGACAGTGCTCAGCAGATACAGTGCTCATACAAAATGACAGTGCTCAGTAGATACAAAATATTATGACAATGCTCAATAGATACAAATTATTATGACAATGTTCAGTTTCAATTGTTTGTTCATGTTACTATATTTGTTTTTGTAACTACATACATATGCTTATAGACTGATTGATAGATAGAAACATTCATTTAAATCCTTATTCACGTACTTCATATTTACTGGGAAAGAGACAATATATAAAAGATTGATAGATAGAGACATTCATCTACTTAAATCCTTATTCATTTACTTCATATTTACCGAGAAAGAGACAAACGTAGATATGAATCCGCAGAACATTAAGGCCCCTTGTATCCACTGTAGTTCCAGCTTGCCTGCGGTTGGGAGTACCTTCGCTCGACGTACCAAAGCATCTACATGTTCGGCGTCACGATCGGGGCGCCGTTCAACGGGGTTCTGGCCGACAGGTGAGCGGCTCTCGTTTGGGAACGGCCTTGGTGGGGGGGGGGGGGGGGTTCTTGTCCTTTGCTGTTTGGGGTTAATGTGTTCGGCTTTTTTTTTTTTTTTTTTTTCTCCTTCTTTTTTCGTCTTTTTGTGTTACTGTATGTTTCTCGGTATTTATTTGTATGTGCGCGTGTAAGATTGTGTATATATGTGTGTGTGTGTCTAAGATTTCTCATTCCCATAGATACAGACATTCATAATTCTCACAATACTCCCGAGAAACGTTAAGAACGGGCGGAAAATCTAATAAATGAAAAATATCGCGAACTCTACGGTATTTTTGACTAACTGGCAAAAAAAAAAACTGGTTCGTAGTTTTGTCTACTACCCTTCAACACATGACTAACGTTTTTTTTTTTTTCTTTGGCAACGCGTTTAGGCTGAAACCCTATTTATAACCCCCCCCCCCCCCTAAAGCGAAAGATGAGTTGCGTTTGGTTAAACTTGTTTTTATATGCTATATCATAACAGGAATTCTGCAAATCAAGTCCAGGTTTATAGTTCTTAGGCCTTTTTGTGCCTATCCATAAGATAATTGCAATAATTATAATTAGAGTATAACCAAACTTTTACATTAAATATAATTTTTTATTATATTTTTTATATATCCACATATCTAGTCTGTTTTGCATAGCCATACTTTCTCTTCTAAGAATTGGAAAATCTAATGTCAGCAGCCTTATACTATAAAAGAGTATCACTAACCTAAATTCATCTTAGGGATATAGGATCCAAAATAACTTAAAATTCTACCATTTAACAGGTACGGGCGTAAGATGACCTGGCCGTGGGTTTCGTCGCCTACTCCGCCCTGGCCATCGGCTCCTGCTGGATCCCCAACCTCTCGGCTCTCCTGCTCTCGCGCGCTTCTCATGGGCGCCGTCCACCCCACGATACAGAAGACGGGATATATACTAGGTGAGGGGTGGCGGAGGAGGGAGAAGGCAAGGGAAAAGGAACAGGTAGAGAAGGAGGGGAGGTATAGGAAAGGCAGTGGACAGAGATACAGATGGCAATAACGATGAGGATGGAGAGGTGGAGAGAGAGAGAGAGAGAGAGAGAGAGAGAGAGGGGGGGGAGATAGATAGGTAGAAAGAGAGATAGAGAGAAGTAAAAACCATTTAGAGCGTTATCAATTTTCGCAGGCATGGAGGTCGCGGATCCCAAGTGGCGCACGCATATCGGCATTGTATTGTTTCTGCCATGGGCGCTTGGTCTCATGGCGTGGGGCGGGTTCGCTTACCTCGTCCGGGAATGGCGGATGCTTCAGCTGACCGTGTCTTTGCTGTGTCTGGCCTTCTTGCCTACTCTGTGGTAAGTTTCGATGAGATTTCTGTGATACAACTTTCGATATCTGTGTCTCTCTCTATCTATCTCTTTCTCTGTTGTCTGTCTGTTTCAGTCTGTCTGTCTGTCTGTCTGTCTGTCTCTCTCTCTCTCTCATCTGCAAAGTTCAAAGAGTCACTAAAGTTGACGGAAAAGTCCTGGTGTGATAGACCCTGAACTCCTTCCTTCGTCAATGTCTTCCCCCCTTTTCCTTAACCTTCTCTTCCCATCCATCCTCCATCATCCAGCCGCTTCTCTTTCTACCATCCGTCTTCTCCACCCTCCTCCTCCTCTCCTCCCTCCTCCTCCTCCTCCTCCTACCTCCTCCTCTCTGGGATTATCCTATTAGGTTCATGGACGAGTCGCCTCGGTGGCTGGCCGTGAGGGGGCAGCACCGGCGCGCCCTCCGAGTGCTGCAGAGGGCCGCCAGGTGGAACGGGGTCGCCCTCCCCCCCGAGGACGAGCTTCTGCTCCTGCTCAAGGACGGAGTCAAGGACGAGGTGCGAGCGCGTGCTTGTGCGCATGTGTAAAAGGAACACACTTTATATATATATATATATATATATATATATATATATATATGTGTGTGTGTGTGTGTGTGTGTGTGTGTGTGTGTGTGTGTGTGTGTGTGTGTGTGTGTGTTGTGTTGTGTGTGTGTGTGTGTTTATATATATTTTTTTTTTTATCAATTTTCCTCGAAATATAAATCCTGTCACTAATCATGCTTCTGAATATACAATACAAGACAGAAGAATAATCCTGGTTCATAATCCTTTTATTTATTGTATTTCTTTATCACTTGATCCCGTGACGTAGGCAATGGTACGCCCGCACCAAGACGCCCGCGCCCACACCGCGAGAGGCTGGTTCAGAAGGCGTTTGGATGAAGCATTTATTCTTTTCAGGCAGGTCCACTTTTCCCTCTTCCTCCCTCCCCTTCCTCTCCTCCTATTCTCTTTTCTATTCCTCCTCCTCCTCCTCCTTCTTCATTCCTTCCTCATCGTCCTCCCTCCTCTCTCTTTCCTTCTGCCAAACTTTCCTTACATTGCTGAAATATATCATACGATTCTTTATATGAATGAAAAATCTTGTATATCTTGTCTGTATATTTTGATTTCGTGGAAATATTTGCAATTTCTCTGACATATTTCGCTATGTCGGTTACTGAAAGCGTGCAGAGGATGTAGTCTCAAACCCACAGAATTATTTTGATTATAAGAGCAATATGAATGGTATTAGTAATAGTGATAAAATTAACGAATGACAATGATAGTAAAGACAATATCCTCCTACAAAGACGATACTCATTTTGCTTCTCCACCACTCCCCCACACACCCCCACCCCCCCGCCCTCACCTCACCAGAAGAACCCCCCGCCTTCGCACCATCACCCTCAGCCTGTACACCAACTACCTACTGGTGGTGCTGCTGTGTACTTCGGGCCTCTCGCTCAGCGGCGGCGACCTGAGCTCCGACCCGTTCCTGTACATGGTGCTGACGGGGTCGTGGAGCTGCCGGCCTACACGCTGGTCATCCCCCTGGTGGCTCGCTAACGGCAGGAGGGCTCCCGTTGTCCGCCTCTTCTTCATGGGCGCCGTGCTCTTCCTCGCTCTGGCCCTCGTGCCCACGGGTGGAGTGAGGTTGTCTGGGGTGGAAGGTTGTCATGAAATATGTGTAAAAGGTTTCATAATGGAATTTCTGAGAAAAAATGAAAGCATTATTTCCTTCTTCCGTCATTTGTTCTTTTTTGTTCGTGTTGTTTTTTATGCCAAAAAAATTAAGGGGAAGAATTATAGTTGTCTACAAACATGTCCAGAGGTCAATACCAACCAGCTTTACCCAGAAACATAACTAAATAGACAGTGTGAGAAGGGTAAAACATTTAGAGCATACGATGGTAAGATAACAAATTCAAATGAATTTAATAGATATGATGGCATAAACGCACGTCCATTTATAAATTATACGAAATGGGGATTAAAGTTTAGTATAGGCTCTCGTAATTTTCCGTACATGGGTGGGCTTGGGAGCGAAGGGAGTCTGGTGATGCGCTCTGTGTATCTAGAGGGATTGAGATGATGCTGATCCGCCTTCGGCTTCCAGATCGCTGCGACTTTTACCTCCTCAGAGCTCTTTCCATCCGCTCGAGTGGATTGGGTTGGCAGGGATTACGAGACGGGGGACATGAGCAAGCAAGGCCTTGGTTCGAGAATGGACGTCTAAGTCTGTAGGTGCCGCGTCTGTCGAGTCGAGAGACCTGAGTGACCTAACGTGGGCATGTAAGTAGTAGTGTTTTTTTTCTCCTAATCTTTGTCTAAACGTCGGTTTTGTTGTTAGTGATCTGTATATTTTGTGCGTTTATTTTTGAGCAACGGAATAAAAGTCATGGGTGAAGCCGATGTTATTAATTTAGTGATCTGTTATTGGGAAGGGCGGGCTGATGAATTGGGTGTAAGTAGTGATATTGAATAAGTAAGCTTATAGGATGTGTTTTAGATTTTTTGTGACGCACAAGTCACGTGTGCTGCAGATAAGAAACAAATACGGATAACGCAAAGAGATAATTGGGTCTTAGCTATGGGATTGTTGTATGAGAGATGTAGTACATGAGAGTGGAGTAGATGTATAGGACGCTCATGAGAGAGAGAGAAGAGGCATGAGCATCGGAGTCACCGACGAGCGCCGATGCGTTAGCATGTCTAGAGTAAGTGAGATGATAGGCACGCAGATGCACGTGTTGCGCCTTGCCTGACCGGTCGGCTCGCCTGCCGCGGCTAGTGGCGCGCGTTGGTGGTTACACTGTGGTGGGCTACCGAGGGGAGGAATGGGAGGAAGGGAGGAGAGAGAGAGTGAGCACCGTGGAACTTTCTATGATGATATCGAGTGCGATGTGTACGAAAGTGGGACTCCGCCATCCCCGTTCCTCCGAGACATGTGCAGGTCGTTGGTTCGCCATGATGAAGACCACGACGGCGACGAGAGTCTATTGTATGCGTGTCCTGCACGCCATCACGATCTTTAGTATGAAGGCGTAGTGTGCGAGACTGTACGGCTTCGCAGAGACCCTCTACGTTAGATGACCTGAGAGAGGGTGACCTCCGATGACAGCCGGCGATGACCTGATGAGAGACAGGGGAGGAGACGCAGACCGCATGGTGTGAACCGCAGTGGAGAGGCAGACCGTCAAGGGCAAGGTAGGTTAAGGAGGGGACGGGCGTGCGTAGACGTAGCAGAGCGAAGAGGACGGGCCGCACCTGCAGGCACTGAGCGGGGGAGAGCGCACTGCGACGTGCCTCTCCCGGACACCGAGTCAGGGCAGATCAGCCTAGGAGGAGAGCGGAGGAGAGAGATGCAGGACCAGGTAGAGACGAGAGTACGGGCTGGAGGAGATGATGATAAGAGCACTGATTGGGAGTTGTTCGTCTGAGATTCCGTTAGTTGTCATTTGTAGTCATGAGAGGGAGAGAGCCGGATTAGTGTATGTGCACTTGTCAGATAGTGTCTTATGTTGGGTTGCAGAGTGTAGATGTGGATGTTGAGGAGGAGATGGGAGAGAGTAGTAAGATCTGGGTGTGTGGTAAGAGTAAGTGTCGTATGTCGGTATGATCTCTTCAAGTAGCATTTATTGATTTCAATTGCCTGTTGTTGTTATTGTTTTTTTTTTTTTTTTTTTTTTCGTCTTCCCCAGTTTACTGTTTTTGCTATCTTTTCTGTTGTTTCTTACCTTTTTTCTGTGAGTTTTTTTGCTGCTTTTTCTTTTTGAGAAACAAATATTTTTTTTTTTTTTACCGGTAATAAATGATTTTGTATGGAATTTTAAATTATGACTCTTGTCGACTAAGAGCTCTTACATTAATATCTGTAATCTCTGTAAAACAGACAGACTGACGGACAGATAAACATATAAGACTGACTGACTGGCTGACAGAAGGGAAGACAGACAGACAGAAGGAAAGACACAGACTGACGGACAGATGAACATATAAACTGACTGACACTGACAAGGAAAGACAGAAAGAAATACAGACAGAGAAACACTGATAAACAAACGGAAAGATGGACTAAAAGACATATAAACCAAAGGACGGACTGAGACAGACAGACAAACCGAAAGATAAACTAACTGAAGCGACGACCCACATAATTATAGCTTTGAGTCCTATTTCCCTTCCTTCCAACAGCGGGTTCCTGCGACTCCCTGTCCGCGATCCCAGAATCCCTACCATTTACGTCAGCCAAGTGGATTAGGGGATTCCACTCCTAGGGGATTCCACTCCAAGGGGATTCCACTGGGATTCCAAGGCCACTCCAAGGGGATTCCAAGGGGATTCCACTCCTGGGGGATTCCACTCCAAGGGGATTCCACTCCTAGGGGATTCCACTCCTAGGGGATTCCACTCCAAGGGGATTCCACTCCAGGGGGATTCCACTCCAGGGGGATTCCACTCCAGGGGA